GCTCCAGGGCACCAGCAGTTTGGGCCCTGCAACATCACTGCCTACCCTTTTAGGTACTATACTCTCCTCCAAGGGTGACCACATCCCCTACCCTGATTCCTGGTGTCTCCCTCCAGACCCACACCCTGTATTCTCCCACCTGCACAGTGTCCAGAAGCTCCTGTCGCTCTGTTTCCCATGCCTGGCTAGGGGTCTCGAGAGGGCCTTGTTCCCCTACATATTTCCTCAGATTCTCAACCAAGGTCACTTGAGCTGTCAAATCTTCTTGTGTCTTGCTAGGATTAGCAAGGGTGGAAACAAGGCAGTCATTAAGGGAGCACTGTGAAGAATCCCACATCATCAATCTCTGGGCCCCCTCAACTGTCCCTGTCAATTTACCTGAGCTCCTTCCGCAGCAGCTCAGCCTCCTTCTGGGCCACAGTCAGCTCCTTAACTTCCATTGCCCTCCTGGTTTCCAGACTATTCAGAGACTTCTCCAAGCCCTCAGCCTTGTTGGTCAAACTAAAAAGAGCCTCCTGGTGAGCCTGTGTCAAGGAGGATAGCTGTGGAGAGAAGAGTGGGCTCAGCTCAACCTTATATCAGGGTATTCCAAACTATTCCTGTGTTGGCCTTGTCTCTCCACTCCCACTGTCTGTGACCTCAAAGAAAGACAGATCAGTTATCAGTTTCATCCATGAGGACAGAAACTCATAGGCAATTTGGTTATCAAGTCCCCAGCTCCTATCTCAGGGATGGCAAAGAAAAGTATTGGGTTTCCCGACAGAATTACCTCCCCTTTTCCATTCCTCTATAGGGGCCACACCCACCTACCTCACAGTCCCCCACCACATTGGAATCAAGGTACCTACTTCCTTCTGGTGAGAGGCCACCTGAGTCCTGAGAAATAATCTGAATAAGATCAAAACACCTAGATTCTCTGTCTTTCTAAGCTGCCTGCTTCACTCCTTTGCCAAAGATCTCATGGCTTAACTGCTCTTGGGGATCTCTTCTGATAATGACTCTTTGCTAGGAAGTTCCTGCCCAGCTACCCTGTTATGAGTCTGAACCCATCCTGCCCCTACATTCACCTGCTCTTGGTGCAGCCTCTGAACTTCCTCCAGCTCCTGTTGGCTCTCTTCTTCTAGTTTCTTACGTACAATCTCAGCCCCAGTCAAGGCAGCACGCAGGCCCTCAGCCTCAGCTCGGCCAGCCTTCTCTGCCCGTGCCAAAGCCTCCAGTTCCATGGCCTGGGCCTCCAGCCTCATCTTTTGTTGCAGTGAGGTCTCCCGCAGGACCTGGACTTCATCCTCTAGCTGCCGTAACTCTTGAAGCTGCTGAAAGATCAGCTCAGCCTGCTGGCTCAGGGCATGACACCCCTGCTGCTCTAGGGACCTTCAAAGACAGGATGGCACAGACAAAAAGGTGTCTCTTGTACTAAGAGGGAGGCCAAGGGCATAAATGGAGACAAGAAGAGGACCCCTCTGTCCTTACATGGGGAGGTGGGAGATGAAGTTGGGGCATGGGAATCTCTATATTCACATCATCATTGTCATTCATTGAGGCCCTACTAAGCATAATAGATCCACTATCTRGATTCACAGGACTTAATGGCTAGTGAGATCATGGAACATGATTTTTCTGGAGACCTACATACAGGCAGATGTAGCAAACATCAAATGCACACATCATGAGGCCACAAGTTCTGAGTGAAGAGGTTAGAAAAACATGTAAGACTTCCGAATTTTGATTTAAGACTAGGAAAAATGAGGGAAGCATGGGCGTAGGGGTAAATTTTCCTGGGCTTACAGTATCAATATGGCAAGTCCAGATGCTAGGTATAGGCTTTTACAGAGTGTTTGGCCTACTGTATGAGGAATCTGAGAGGGCAGAATAATAAATGAGACACTCCCAACCTTTGGAGAACACTTTACTGGTGTCATTTAAATTTAAACCAGCTCATAACATGGCTGAGACAACTCCCTCACTAAGAACCATACTTTACTTTTTTTATTTTTATTTTTAGGCTAGATCCTTAGGCTAAGGAAAATAAGTGAGTTGCCAAAAATCCCCTACCTGGCAGCCATACTAGAAATAGAATCTGTCTCCTGATACCAGGCTAGTACTCCACCTTCATCATGCATCTTTTTCCTTGATGTAATCCTCACTCTGGATTGATAGTACATTTGGGAAACGAGATATAAAACTGAAAGAGTAAGAATTATTTCTGGGCACATTAGCACATACCTATATCCCCAGCAACTCAGGAGGGTGAGGCAGGAGGATCACAAGTTTGGGGCCAGCCTGGGCAACTAAGAGAGACTCTGTCTCAAAATAAAAACTAAAAAAGAACACACAGTGGCGCATGCTTATAATCCCAGAAACAAGGATTGCAAATTGGAGTCCAGCCTTGGCAACTTAGCAAGACCCTCACAACCACAACCTAGTGAGACTATCTCAATAAAAAATAAAATGCACTGGGCATATAGTTCAGTGGTAAAGCGCACCACATTCAATTCCTAATACCACAAAAAGAAAAAAGAATTTTCACAGCACATTCACAGAGAGTGCATGCCAGATCAAATGGAATGTTCTCCAAAAAGGCTTTCTTCAACTACTTCATCAGAATGAACCCATGCACCACAGCACTGGGTCTACATATCTAGTCTGCACTTCACCTTGTTTTATCTGGTAGTTTCCAAATATTTGTAATCAACCTATCTCCTCCCTTYGAAATTTATATTCTTTATAAGTTGAAGATTTAAGGCAGGCTCTCATTTATTTTTTAATCTCTATTCTTGGAGTCTAACACTCCTTATTATATATGCATTGTAGATACCAATAATTGCCTATGTAAAAATGTATGTTATTTTTTTTTAATTTTTATTTTATTTTTTTTTTTTTGTGTTTTTTTTTTTTTTTTAAAGAGAGAGGTGTGAGAGAGGGAGAGAGAGAGAGAGAGAATTTTAATATTTATTTTTTAGTTTTCGGCAGACACAACATCTTTGTATGTGGTGCTGAGGATCGAACCCGGGCCACATGCATGCCAGGCGAGCGTGCTATCGCTTGAGCCACATCCCCAGCCCCAAAATGTATGTTATTGAACCAAGGGCCAAACAGGGCAAGGAATCTACTTCAGAGAGGAAGGGTCACAAGCAAGCACCAATGAGAAAACAGAAACAATGGATCCCTACCTGCCTCTCCGCCCTGGCCCTTGCCCATTTCCAGAAACACCCTGTTCCCACGTGGTCACTGGAGACCTCTGGATGTCTAGTCGCCTCTCTGAGACATCCTGATGGGCTGGTGGTTGCACCTGGGGAATGTCTGAGACCCAGGTGGGAGCCATTCTTGAAAGAGTTGGAAGGGGCTTGGCTTGGAAGTGGGAGGGGGGAATCAGCCCAGTGAAACCTGATGAATCACAAGAGCAAAGATGGTCATTAGTTTCCCAGGAAAAGGCAACCAATGGACCCCTTGCCTGGCCCCACTGACCTGAAGGTGGCAACATCTCCTCGTTGGCTGATGGCTCTACATTCTTTCTCTGGCCATCTTTCTTCCCCTGGACAACAGGAGAAACAAGGACACTCCAATTTAATATTCAAGCCACCTTCAAAAGCCAAGCCCCTACAGTAACAAAGTCATAGTCCTTAAATTACAGCCAGTTTTAGCAACTCTCAGTTTCTTTTTCCTGGGTCCCAAAAAAGATAGTGGATACCCCAGGTCCATTTGCTTGTCCCAACCTGCCTCTCTATAGAACTGGGCAATAACCAAGATGTGGAAAGAATTTACTGAAATAGGCCAAGTTGAGGTTCTTAGGGCTTTATTCCTACTTTTAAGATTCTAGGCAAGGCCTTTACCTTCTTCCTCTGGGCTGGAGGTGAGAAAGGAGGTACACAATGTAGGGGCCCTGAGCTCAATTTCCAGAGTTCTTTCAATGATTCAGCAAGGCCTTGGGGAAGACCATCAAGGCACCACAAAGCCATGACTTCTGATTCCTTCACTATTAAAGTGCTGACCCAAGGTCTGGCCCCACAAGAATGTGGCACATACAGGGTTAGTCGCCTCTCCAGGACCCCTGGGAATGCAGGCAGCCTAGAGCAGGTGGCAGAAAAGCCAGCTTCCTGATATCTCATCCAAACCTCTCTTACTCTCAGTTTCTCTCTACTATCCCATCAGTTTCAAGTCCTGTTGCCCTTCTCTSGAGGCCCACAGCCCACAGAGTGAACTCTTCTAAGACTTTCCCTGACCCTCCCACCCGATTTCATCCACTGTTTATCTAACCTGGGATGCCTACCCACGACCCCTCTTACATCCTATCTGCTTTTTTCCTGAAGGGATTATTGTGGTCCCTCACTTTCACCCTCATCTCTCAGATTATTATGCTTTGTTCTCTTTACTCTCTCCCAAATACCCTGGTCTCTTCATCCTGCGAGCCTCTAAAGCTGTTTTTACCACCTCATCTTTTCCTTTACCCCGGCCCCTGTGACCTTCTTCCCCTGTGAACCCCGTGAACCCATCCCAGAACCCCTTTAGCCCTTCCCACCCCCAACCGACTCTTCTCGAACGCCCCTTACCGAGCTCGAGAGCCCCCTCAGCCCTTTGGCCACACCCCCTACACCTCGCTTGGGGCCTGGCCTCCTCCCTTCAGTGTGCATGCGCAAGGCGGGTGTTTTAGCGGGTCTCCCCAGTTTCGCTCTGGAAGGAGGCGGGGGGGGGGGGGAAGGTGCACGCATGCGCAGTGGCATCTAAGGCTACGCCCAATCAAATCACCGGGGCAACTCCGCGCCCTGTCGGCTCCTCCCCACTCCGGGAACCCGGGAAAACTCCTAAACTAATCAAAAAAGGCGGAAGGCGGGAGATCGGGGACCCACCCCGAAGGCCGCCCAATAGAGAGGATGAGGGCAAATAAGAGGGCCAATCAGTAAGGGCACGGGGGGCGGGTACGCTCGGCGCGAAGTCAACCCGGGAATTCCGAAGGAGGGGTCCGCTCTGCCCGCGCTCCGAGGCTTCGCCCCTCCCTGCCTCAGCTTCCTGGCTGTCAAACTGCTGCGAGAGCGGGAGCGGGAGCAGGATCACTGGCCTTTTTGTGAAGAAGGATATTGCCTGGAGCACAGACTGCACTACGCGGATAGATCTGAAACTGGGCTGGTGCCGGGAAGTAAAAGGCCGTTTTGCCTTGCGGAATTTCAAGGAACTTCTTCTCGTTTGATCCCATCCAGAGAAGCCGGGAAGTAAGGAGTTCGATCCATTTTGTTGAACCATTTAGGGGCCCGTTTGCACTGTCCTTTAGAGTGACAGTGAATTCACTTGGGTTGGAGCTGAGCGAGGAATTGGCCAGAAGAGCGGGGCGCGGTCGAATGGGAGGGGTGCACTTATCTGGAGAAGCAAGTCTGACAGCAAGCTTCTCTTCTCCCGATTATACTGTGATACGTTCGTGTCGCATTTTCATGTTTGTATAACAGGATCGCTCCCCCTGCCACCCCCCTCACACACACACSGTACACCTCAGTTTGCATTTTCCCAGAAGCTGCCTAACATACGATTCGTTGCCTTGCACAGATTGGAGGCTCCTCGGATGTTTGATGGCCTAAGGATCCAGCTTAACTGAGGTGTCATAGGACGTGTTCCTGTTTTTGCGTTGGGCCAGCACCCTCCCGGAATTCTTTAGTTGCAAATTTGCTTGATAATCAACTTTATATTGCATTCAGTCTACTTGAGCTCTGAATTTTCACTATTCGAGCTTTGTACTCAAGGTTGAAATTACACACAACCCAACTCACTTTTCAAACTGAAAAGTTAACTAAAGCTAGAGGTGCATGTCTGAGAAGTGGAAAAGGTGATGGATTCCTGAGAAATAAGGTGGTGTGGAGGGGGCACCGCTCATGCTACCCTGCTTCCAACTACTACGCATAGGGGGTGGCAGGGGCGGTGATCTCTACACCTTCCATCCCCCCACTGGGGCTGGCTGCACCTATCGCTTGGGCTGCAGGGCCGACCTATGTGATGTGGCCCTGCGGCCCCAGCAGGAACCTGGCCTCATCTCTGGAATCCACGCAGAGCTGCATGCTGAGCGCCGGGGTGATGACTGGAGGGTTAGTGTGGAAGACCACAGCAGCCAAGGTAAGCCTTGAGAGGGGTAGCTTTTCCCCAAGGCAGTTCCAGGTTGGAATAAGGGAACCTGTCATCTGCCTCCCCAAATCCCTATCAAGTTGGACAGTCAGTCTAGTTCTTGAATTTCCATCAGAAGCATGCACTGTCAACTCCGTAGAACTTAAATGCTCTGTTTAGGGCTTGCTGGATCAAGGGCACAGATCATCATCAGGGTAGTGTCACAGGGGGCAAGTTTTGGGGCCAAGCTCAGGCTCGACTGTTTTCATCTTTGCTGAGGTATCTTGTTCCTGTTAGATGACTCATAATGATGATCTGCACATGTGTCTTTCCTTTCTACTAAAGGCAGCCACGGAAGGCTAGGGCTCAGTTATGTTCTGCCACTGGCTCCTGGTAAAACCCYGATCAGGCCTGTCACTCCACTTCCCCAGGTCTTAGTTTCCTTTATATAACAMAGTTTGGTAATGTTTTGGTAAAGTCAGTGCTGGGGGTGCTGTAAACATTAGACTATAGTARCCAACATTCATTTAGTCACTAGCTAGATATTTCTAAAGCACATTCWATATGGATGACACTAACACCCTCAATTAACAGCTGAGGAAAATTAGGCACAAAGGTTAATAAACAGCTGATAAATGGCAGAGCYAGAATCTGAACCAGTCTGAGGCTATACTAAGCAAGCATGAGAGTTGGACCTAAGCACTTTGGGAGGAGCTTCCAGCTAAGGAGATTACAGGTGGTGTTATTTGCCAAGAAGTTTAGAATGTGAGGGAGAATTTGATTCTCTTTCCTGTGTCCCCTGAAAAAAAAAAATCAAACAGGTCCTTTTTTCTCTACCCTGATTGGTCATTTCTGTTCTTGTCATTGTTTCATGCCCCACCATCAACAGGGACTTTGGTCAATAATGTCCGACTCCCAAGGGGCCACAGATTGGAGTTGAGTGATGGTGACCTCCTGACCTTTGGCCCTGAAAGGCCTCCTGGAACCAGCCCCTCGGAGTTCTACTTCATGTTCCAACAAGTCCGGGTCAAACCTCAGGACTTTGCTGCCATTACAATCCCACGGTCTAGGGGAGAAGCCAGGGCTGGTTTCCTGCCCATGCTGCCCTCCCAGGGGGCCCCACAGCGGCCCCTCAGCACCCTCTCCCCTGCTCCTAAGGCTACACTGATCCTCAACTCCATTGGAAGCCTCAGCAAGATCCAGCCCCAGCCTCTCACCTTCTCCCGGAGTGGGGGTGGGCCACAGAGCCTGCCTATTCCCACTCCAGCTGGGGAAGTGGGTACCTCGCCTGCCCCACCCCCAAGAAATCGGAGAAAATCAGCTCACAGAGTGTTGGCAGAATTGGACGATGAGAGTGAGGCTCCTGAGAGYCCCCAACCAGTCCTCACAGAGCCCAGGAAGAAACTCCGTGTAGAGAAAACCCCACTGACACCCAGTGGGTAAGTGGCACACTCAGTATCGGCCTGCTCTCAGTATTTCACTGCCTTTGATTTCTTTTTAAGAGTCTCAGGCTGTGGAACCCCACTGCTTAGGAGGTGAACAGATAGAATTGATCTTAGAATGGCAGGAGCTGGGTTAACTCTGACATACATTATATATACACACACAGGAGGAAGCAAGTTGGTATTGCGTCATTGGTTAAAATAGGAGTGTAGGAAAAAATAAAACTTGGCAAAGGATGGTAGTGCACACCTGTAATCCCAGTTACTTGGGAGGCTGAGACATGAGGATCAAATTTCAGAACAACCTGGGCAATTTGACAAGAGCCACTCTCAAAGAAGAATCCTGGTCCGCTTAGTGTTTTCCTAGTGTGTAGGAGGTCCTGTGCACTACCCCCAGCACAATAAATAAAGTTATGAACTCCTTGTCTACTGACATCCTGTTGTTTCGGGTYAAATTTGGGGCCTCAGGCATGCTAGCTAGGCGCGCACTCTACTACTAATCTATACCCCAATCCTAAATATTTTTTATTCATTTATTTTTGGTGCTAGGGACTGAACCAAGGGGTACTCTTACCATCAAGCCACATCCCCAGCCCTCTATTTTGATACAGGGTTTCATTAAGTTGCCCAGGCTGACCTGGATCCTCCTGCCTCCGCCTCCTGAGTAACTGGGACTACAGGTGTGCACCACCATAGCAGAAAGRCCCTTTTTACATTGAGGACTTGCACCTTTCTTCTAGTGCTTAAAGACAGGGAATTAAATTTCCAAGGCTCACATTATCTAGTGAGTCTTTCTAGATCCACCCTATGTTATCCAGGGCCAAGGTCTAGGTTTTTCCTACAGGTTTTCAATGACCCTGGTATTTGTTGCTTCCTTTAGAAATCGACGTGGCCGTCCTCGGAAGCACCCAGTGAGCACCCCCATGACTCACCCTGTAATTGGGGATGGGGAACCTTGTGCAGCCCCTTGTTGCAGCCTGCCCCAAGAAGAGACAGTGGCCTGGGTTCAGTGTGATGGTTGTGACATCTGGTACCATGTGGCTTGTGTTGGCTGCAGCATCCAGGCTGCCAGGGAGGCAGATTTCCGATGCCCAGGGTGTTGTGTTGGGATCCAAACCTAACATCCACCACCAAGGCACTAGAGGACAGAACTGGCACCTCCTATCCAGGATTGAACACAGTAGTGTCCAAATGGATCCTAAGAAATGCTTCCCTTCTTTCCTTCCCTCCACAGGAGGGAATGACCACAAGGAGAGGTCCATTGCTATGGACACTGATTCAGGGCCTGAAGCAGGCCCTCATGGCCAAGGTGGTTTCCTGCCAAAGAAAGTGCTGCCTCTACCAGAAGTTGCCAGTGAGCTGGAAATTCCCACTGTTACAAGCTGTAAGGCCTTGTTGTCATGGACACCAAAATATATCATCCAGCACATATCATCTGCAGAAGCTATGCCTGGGAAGAAACAAGAGGGAGTTGCTAATGTCCTTGAATGGCATCTACCTAATACACTCTAGGAAAACCAAGGGCACAGTCCTGCCCRCCCCCAACTTCCTTATACTGCTTAGTCCTCTCCCTGACCRTATCTCTGATCTGGATTTTCAGAGCTTTGCTTTTATTTCCAAATAAAAATCAAGCAGCTTCATTCACTCTTTGTTGTTTGCTCTTCTTATGGCTCTGATATTGTTTTCCAACTTTGGGAAGAATAGACTTGGTAAGGTCTTGGAGAACTAATCCAGTTTCTTAAGGGAAGGAGGGAAGAGAAATACAAACCATACAAACCTGTTCATTGGAAAGGCTGGAATATGTGGGATAAGCTAGAGATAGGAAACAGGGGAAAAAGAGGAATGGAAATTACAGGGAAAATATCTACTTCCATTAAAATAAGATAGTTGAGATTTAATTCACAAGGATGAATTTTATAGGCTTCACCAGGAAAAAAGAAAAGCTGGTGAACCAGCTATAGCAGAAGCCGATCTGGTCCAGTGTGGATTAACCTCTTAACCCATGTACATATCATACATGTGATGTATAAAATGGGCCTTGCACCAAGCCAAGATACTGCTGGAGTCTATGGCCACCCTGAACACGACCAATCTGGTCTGATATTGCTGAGKGTTGCATCCTTTCTATAATTTGTATGAGAAAAGCTGTATTTTGACCTATTCTCTTGCAACCTGTATGTCCATCCTCTTTCTTCTGAGACTCACCAAACCCACATTTTGCCCACATTAAGAAAACCATTCCAAAGTCCCCTAATTAACTAGYGGCAGAACCAGGAATAAGAAGGTATATAGCAAGTTACTTAGGAATAGTATTAAGTGGAACCCAAATGGACTCTGGTAACAAGAAAATACAGTGGGCTGGGGTTGTGGTTCAGTGGTAGTGTGCTTGCCTAGCATGTGTGAGGCACTGGGTTMGATTCTCAGCACCACATACAAGCAAATAAATAAATAAAGGTCCATCAATAACTAATAAAAATATTTTAGAAAAAGAAAATACAAGGGGGCTGGGCACAGTAGCTCATGCCTATAATCCCAGCAGCTCAGGAGAATGAGACAGGAGGATTGGCTAGTTCAAAGCTAGCCTCAGCAAAAAAGCAAGTCACTAAGCAACTCAGGGGGAGTTTTTAATTGGGGTGACATGCAGTGGAAGTTGTACTGGGAGACTTGATTTCTTAGTATACAGCCACTGAGGATTTCCAGAGTAGCACAGGTAAAATCAGCTCCTAATAGGTAACAGGGAACATGGTAACTACATCTGTGGGCATTCAATTTAAATTCTCAAGGACCCCAAGGACTAGCTTAAGCTTTTAAGATCCTCTACAAAAAAAACAGGGGTTCCAATTTCAACTCTCTTAGGCAGTGAGAAGTTAGTTTATTCTAGAGATTGAATCCAGGGGCACTTCACCATTAAGCCAGTCCATTTTTATTTTGAGACAGGGTCTTGCTAAATTGCTGAGACTAGCCTCAAACTTGTGATCCCCCTGCCTCAGCCTCCCAAATTGCTGGAAAGACCTTGAACAGTTGAAATGGCACGTCAGTTTCAGGGTCACAGGTATGACAACAGTTAGTATCTAACACAAGATTTCTCTAGTGCTCTTCAATAATTAAAAGAGGATAAACCAAAGACAAATTTATCTATCTACTGTGTCCCAGGCTTCTTTATTATTTAAGAACAAAGTATGAGTGATGTGGGGATTAAAATCAAGAGCATGATTGAACTTCACCTTCCCTCCAACCAGTTCCCCAACTCCTCACCCCACCCTTTGTGCTTCCAATTCCTTCCTTAGTGAATGAAGAACTTAATCCCAAAAGCCCTGGTCCATACTCCAGGTTCTCTCCCTAGCTCCTCTTTCCTCTGCCCCCGTACCTGGGAAAGGCAGGTACCTCAGTTTGAATGCATGGGAGAGCCCAGAGTGGTGACAGAGACAGAGGGAAAGGCTTCCCCCTCAGGAAAAGGAAGCGGGGAATAGAGTGTGGTGAAGTGAGGGCTTCCATAACCTGAGGTACCAAAATGGGGCCCTGGGGCCAGAGGAAAGGATACAGGTCCCCCTGAGAAAGGAGAAGCTGCAGCTTCAAAATCCTCTCGTTGGGAATAATCAATGCTTGATCGTTTGCCCTTCTGGCGCCGGTTACAGAACCACACTCGGACCACCTGGGAGTGGACGACACAGGAGAGTGACATTAGACCATAAGCTCCAGGAGTTGGGTCTGGCTTTGCTTGATCATTTCACCCAAAGCCCAAGTGGCAGGAGGAGGAGCTAGAGCTAGAGAAAAGGGAGTGGCAACTGGGGAGGCAGAGAGATGGCGTGGACAGGGATAGGTGCACTCACATCCTTCTCAAGCCCCAGCTGTTCAGCAATGTGGCTGATCTGCTGCAGGGTGGGTTTTGGGCACTGCAGGAACATGTTCTCCAGGTTGCCTCTCACTCGGTTCTCGATACTTGTTCGTTTTCTCTTCCGGGCTTGCAGTAGGGCCTCCGCTTTGCATATCTAGGCAGGTAGGGAAGGGGTGACAAGGTCAGGCTTTGAACCTTCTGAACAACAGCACCACATTGAGGGGTCAGTGACGTGAAAGCACATTGCTAAGGAGACAGTGACTGGATTGGTCTCCAGAGCTAGAGGGTATGAAAAATGAGGAAATTGGAAGGGAGGGTTTAGATCACCTAACAGAATGAAAGGATTATACTCCATCCCATTGAGAAGTGCTGCCCTGGGCTGGGGAAGGAATTGTAGCTCAATGGTAGAATTCGAGGGCCAGGCTCTGGATTCAATCCCTAGCAGACAAAGAAAGGAAGAGAGAGAAACTGCTGCCCCCACGTGGTAGARCAAGARCTGCAGGCCAGGGAGGGAAGCAATGGAGACTGGGCTTACTCAACAGGTCCCAGTGCATCCTTCCCACTCTYACCTCCTGAAGGTTCTCATTGTTGTCTGCTTCCTCCACCCACTTCTGCAGCAGGGGCCGCAGCTTGCACATGTTCTTGAAACTGAGCTGCAGAGCCTCAAAGCGGCAGATGGTCGTTTGGCTAAACACCTTCCCTGGGAGAGGCCAATTGAAAAAGAAGCACATTAGGCAGRGTCCCTGGTAACCTCAAGACCCAGGTGGTCCTCACAAGCTCCCAAACCAGAGTCCAGCTTCTTCCCAGAGGCAGCTCAAGACCAAGTGTCTTCTCCCTCCCTCCCTCCCCCATACCCCCAGAGAGGAGTGGGGATAGGAAYTGCCCTGACACCCTGCCCACACTTTCTTGGTGGAGAAGACCTAAAATTCAGGGGAGATGMGGTCCCTGTGGATCAGAACATGCTGAGGGGGACCCACCAAAGAGAACCCCCAGGGTAAGCCCCACATCGGCCTGAGT